GTCCGCTACACAGTCTTTTATCATGTTTATAGCCAGTTTTAAATTTTTACCACTTTGTACTGCAAACTAGCAAAGTTTTGGCTGCAGTAATGACTCATGTTTTCTTTGGTGGATGGGGGGATAGTACCCTCCCCCGAATAATTTTGCCAATATTTATCGTGGAGGGTCCTATATCTGTGGGGTATCTTCTTTTGAGCTGATGACTTTTAATGTGAGGTCTGACGTTATCAATATATGAATGTTACGTAACACAGTAGTTTAAAGTATGTAATGTAAAATTTAAAATATTCCTAGGAATGACGGGGTTTGGTTAACTCAAAACACACTAAATTTATGAAACCTAAACAATTACATGTAGATTGAAATTACAAATTATTTTTGAATTTGTTGAGAGTATGCAATCAAATACCTCTTTGTATTCTTATATTTTCTCAAATGATGACAAAACAAGTTGCTAAGACACTAAGAAAACTATGTGCGTTTATATTGAAAATATATGATTTTAGTTAGTCATTCCTCCATGATTTTTCGATCCCTCACTTATTTCATTATTACATGTTTCATATGTGTTTTTCTTTTCCTTTTCATATTCTGATTATGTATATCATATACTTGTCCTCTGACCTGAATGTATATGTTGTAAATATTCTTCATTGTCCTCATGTACCTGAAATGGTTTGAGTGAATAAAATGATCTTGAACTTGAACGGGGCCAGGTGCCTTAAACAAAATATCAAATGTATATTTTGATTGAAAATATGTTATTATTTGATTTAATTTCCTATTCAATTGTACTTGTTAGGAAAAATTTTGTATCTGTTAATTACCATGAAATACATGTAGATTCTCCGAGGACAGAACCCTATAGAAAATATACCTACTACATGTATATGCCCAAAATTAAAAAAAAAAAAAAAAAAAAAAACATCTGATGAACTTTTATTTTTTTATTACTTTCTATGGAATTCTTGGTATTTTTCTTATAGTTGATAAATGTAGGTTGTCCCCCCTCCCCCACACTGAAATTGCTTCCTATGTGCCTGTTACATGTATTTGTTTATTCAAGCTAAATTGTTATTTTTTACATTCAAGTATCTTAGAATAAGTTTTCCCTCTTTCATAGTGTAATAATACTCCACAACAACTCCCTAGGTGAAGAAAAAAATGATCATACATGACTTTCTTCTTTCCATATTGACATACCTGTCACTTTTTACCCAATTATACAAAAGAGTTCCAACAAGGGGAGATAACAATTTAACTCCAGCAAATTGGTAACAAGAGGGTAAAATAAGCAAAAGAAAGTTATATGAAGTGTCCAAATCAGTTATTCCTCTTCTAAAAAATATATTAGATTCAGTATCTTCTCTTTTTCTTTAAATATCATAGAAATAATCCAAAAATATGGTAAAAGACTGTTATTTAAAATATGTGAAATTGTAGCAAAATATGGTATTTCAAAGTTAATTTACAGCATGTAGATATTATTTCCCAAGCTCAATATTTTAATACAGAATAGACCTTAGATCATTCTTAAAGTAACAATTAATTTGATTTAATTTCAACTTTGGTCTTGAGAGAAACGAGCGTCTAAAAATGGCTAAAAAATCATACTCATTTACTTAGGATCTATAAATAGATGTGTAAAAAATAAAGTATTCATTTGATTTAAGTTTTTCCTCATTAATTGTGTTAATTGGACAATGACTTTGACAATAAAACAAAATTTGAACATAAACTGATGATAAAAGGTAACTTTTTGACTTGATCAATTTGTATACATTTTCCATTAAATTTTGTGTGATTTTCGACAAATATGCAAATGAGCTGTTACTAAAAATAGATGCAGGGTTCGACATTTTTTGGTGGATATTCTGACTTCTACCTTTATGTAGAAAATTTTAAGCCACTTAAAATTCCCAAGTTGCAACCTTCCATTTGGACGATTTTTTGAATTTTGCATGGTTTTCTCGCGGACTGGCTCTTAAGAGACTTCTTAGAACCGTGCTTTTTCTTTAGAATTCGCTTACTTGTTTTAAAATTAGTTAAATTACTTAATTTAAACTTTACGCCCAAACTTACGCCTACCCATGAGTAGACGTAGAATTTTGGCCTAAATTTAGTCAGGTGTAACGATACGCTCTGTAATGAATCGCAACTCTTTGTGCTAGTCCTGACTTTACACCGTCGTAGCGCTACGACTGGGCGTACGACCTTTGATGAAATGGGCCCCTGGACTTTAACGAGAAACGGTTACTTTTACAGTTGACGAATTATCCTCACACTATGACAATGTATGAAAGCTCTTTTAAGATATAAATATTTATCCCAACCTTTAATTCAGCGAAAACAGCAGGCTATTTCAAAGCACAGATACGTTGCCCTTTGAGAAATCGACAATCATCCTACCCTAAAACCAAGCCTTGACATATAAGTGCCCCTTACACCATTACTATCACCACTAGAAAGGTGTTCTTATCCATTATCAATTCTGTACCTCCGTAGATGACACAGGTTTAAATGTCCAAGTAAACAGTCAACTGTAAAATTCCGTGCTTCTCGTAAAAGTCCGATAGGAGTACAATATGTGCTTCAAGGGTAGACACACAAAGACCCAAGCAGGCAGATGTGTAAATATTCAAATGGGACAATATGTTGATGGATGAGACTATGTGCAATTCGCTGTATGTAATTTATATGTACATGTTTACAAGATCTTATACTTATCTTATATTAGTATATAAGATTTAATTTCAGGATCGGGACTAACCATATAAAAGACTAATTAATCAAATAACAAATACTTTGTCTTTTTCACAAAACAAATAAAAGGTTAATTTACAAAGAACTTTTAGACATGTCACGAAATCGTTTTATTACAATATTTTAAATAGGGATCTCAATGAGTACCGGGTACTCAATCGAACGTCCAAGTTTCGAATACATGTAGTAAAAATGTACTTGGTTAACCGGAAGTGTATTTTTTTCTCATTTCATAGAACATATTTTTATTTAAAAAAAACTTGCAAAAAAAACTTAAAATATGCATACGGTATCGTCATCAAGACCTGTAAAGCACTCGTTATCACCCTGACCAATTACCTGTTCTTCCCTACTGTGGTCCTTAAGTTTAGTTAAGGTGGCTTCAATGATTTGTTTTCAGTGAACATTGTTTAAGTACATTGTATGGTCTATTATCTTTATATAAATTTTAATGATTAAGTTAATATATGTTGGGGCCTTGTGTGGCAGCGGGCGCGAAGAGGACAGGTCAGGTGAGTTATCATACGACAGCGATATCGGACATGCTCACTTCCCACTTCAAATTGAAGAAATATTTCGAGACAGCTAAAGATTTATTTAAAAAGTATTAGTTTGCGTACAGTAAGTTCAGTGAATATGGGTAAAAACAACCAACATATGAAAAATATTAGACTAACGATTCCAACAACGTCTGTTTCTTCTCTTTCGCAAGTGTAAATTATCACGAAACTGCGTAACAGATTGTCCTCCTTTTTTGTTATTCAAACACATTGTACACTGTATAGATCCTAAACAAGGACTGTAAAACATTTCTAATTTTTGGTGTATTAATTGTGTCTTTTGTGTTTATGTGATAAATAAATTTAGTATAAAAATAATTCCTGTTGGACTTGATGTTTATACATGTACATGTATACACATTTATGAAGTCAACGTGAAAAAAAACAGCTTGAAATTACAGAGATTACAGCTGTAACCAGACTCAAACAATCGCAACTTCTCGGGCCTTTCCGACTAGCGGAAAAACGACCTCGAATGTATATCGTAGACGCCATGACAACCCTCTTTTCACGATCTTTGAAAATGCATGGAGACTTTTTATCTGTGGAATATGGAGTTTAACTTTACTCAATGTAATGATATTACCTAAAATATACTATAGAAGGGTCTTCTTACTCCGTCTTTCCTATATTTGAATAAACAGGAAATGTATATATTTTAACATCCGGTGATGTCTGCTAAAATGGCTGTGTGATGCGTACAGTGTGTGTGCCTGTCTGTGTCTGTGCTTGTCACTCTCGCTTTCAGCTCCACCCCTGGCTAGCAGTTTACTGTGAAGGAGGGAGCAATTTCTGTAAGTCTCTCTTGCCAGGTATAGCCTCTCCACGGTTAGACCTATGTGGCCCAGATATGGGATCCTCCTCGAGGTAGCAGATGGGAATTGGGTACCTTGCGGCCCCAAGCAGAACCACAAGGTCTTGGAGGAGACCAGGCCCCTAAATGCACGGCACGCATGGCCCACCGGCGAGTGGATACGCCCTGGTGTCTGCAATCCTGGTCCCCAGCAATGGGTAAATTGCACTCCCATGGTTATTGGATGGTGCCTCCACTGCATCATTGGACGGATGAGCTGCACAAGACAGCCAACGGCCAGGGCGGAGTAAGTCCTCTTGTGACCAAACGGCCTAGTTGAAAAGGAGAAAACCTCAAATCCGGAGTGGGGACCCGTAGGCGGAGCAGTGCTACCAGAAACACCGTTCCGGCATCTCCTGCAGCCAAGCTGGCGCCAAACGTCATGCTCTGCATTCCTTTGGATTACGTCAGTAAGACCGAGAGGGGGATCCTGAGGACTGGGCCACCTAGGATCTCCTTACTGTTGGCCCAGGCTTCGTGCCCTGGAGAGGACACTCCAGCTCCACTGCAAAGTGTGGATACAAAACCGGAAGTTGTCAGTTTACGGGTTATAAGCCCTTCCAAATTGGCGTACAGGAAGGACGCCACGGGACAACTTTGACGGTTGGAGGGACCATCGTAGTCCTATCGTCCGACTACCGCCCGCCTCAATCTGGACAGCCCCCAGCCAATAAGGTGTCGGTCCGCCAACGTCTGTTGCTCCAGAGGGTGCCTGGAGCTAAATGTTACCCAAACATGGAAAGCAGACGGAAACCTAGTAACCCAACAAATACAGCAAAACGAAATCGTCCATCTTGCGACTGGCAAGCTGGAATGTCAGGACAATGTGTCCTGGCCTATCTGAAGATCTCCAACAGATTGATGACTCCAGGAAAACGGCCATTATCAACCGAGAGCTGAGAAGGCTTAACATCGACATTGCTGCTTTACAGGAAACCAGACTTCCATCAAACGGTAGCCTAAGAGAGGAGGATTATACATTCTTCTGGCAAGGAAATGAACCAGAGGAATCACGTATACACGGTGTAGGATTCGCAGTGAGAAACTCTCTACTGTCATCAGTGGAACCGCCTCAAAAGGGTACACCCAGAATCCTGTCTCTTCGCCTCTCCACCTCCTCCGGGCATGTCAACATTCTGATCATCTATGCTCCCACACTCAGCTCCACAGTGGAGACAAAGGACACGTTCTATGAGGCACTTGAGACTACCATCAGAGATATCCCAATCACAGAACAAGTATATCTGCTTGGGGATTTTAACGCAAGAGTGGAAACTGACCAAGAAGCTTGGCCTCGCAACATCGGCCACTTTGGCGTTGGGAAACTAAACGATAACGGTCAGCGACTTCTTGAGATATGCTCCTACCACGACCTGTGCATAACCAACACATTCTTTGCCACAAAGCCCAAACACAGAGTCTCATGGCGTCATCCCAGATCAAACCATTGGCACCAACTGGACCTTGTGATCACCAGAAGATGCTCACTGAACTGTGTCCTGACAACCCGCAGCTACCACAGTGCGGACTGCGATACCGACCACTCACTTGTTGGCAGTAAGGTGCGACTCCAGCCAAAAAGGATTCATCGCTCCAAACAGAAAGGACGTCCACGAATAAACACAGCAAGGACAGCAATGCCAGATGTTTGCGCACGCTTTGTTGACTCTATTGAAGAGGCCCTTCGTAACTGCCCCACCAGCAGTGCTGATGAGAGGTGGAACTACATTCGTGACGCCATTTACACCTCAGCGATGGACACTTTCGGCAAGAGAGTGAGACAAATTCCAGACTGGTTTAAGGCAGGAATTACAGAACTCGAACCAGCAATCACAGCCAAAAGAAACGCCCTGCTCAACTACAAACGTGGACCTTCAGAGAAGACACTTGCAGAACTCAGAAAGGCCAGAAATGACGCCCAACGGATAGCTCGACGCAGCGCAAATGACTACTGGCTGAATCTCTGTAAGGGTATCCAGCACTCTGCTGACTGTGGAAACATTCGCGCCATGTACGAAGGCATGAAGAAAGTTTTTGGTCCGAGCATCATCAAGACAGCGCCGCTGAAAACAGTCTCTGGTGACATCATCACTGACAGAGGAAAGCAAATGGAGAGGTGGGCTGAACACTATCAAGAGCTCTACTCAAGAGAAAATCTCGTCAGTGTCACAGCTGTTGAGAACACCAATGTCCTACCAACTATGGACCAACTTGATGCTCCACCTTCGATAGATTAGCTCAGTAAGGCCATCAACTCCCTAGCCAGTGGGAAAGCCCCAGGTAGCGATGGTATTCCCCCAGAGGTCATCAAAGCGGGCAAGAGTTCCACTCTGTTACATCACCTGCACAAGCTGTTACTCCAGTGCTGGGAAGAAGGAACAATTCCACAAGACATGCGCAATGCTAGCATCATAACGCTCTACAAGAACAAAGGAGACCGCAGCGATTGCAACAACTATCGTGGAATATCCCTACTAAGCATTGTTGGAAAGGCTTTCGCCCGATTGCAACAACTAGCAGAGCGAGTCTACCCGGAGGCGCAGTGCGGTTTCAGAGCAGAAAGGTCAACCATCGACATGGTTTTCTCATTACGCCAATTACAAGAAAAGTGTCGAGAACAGAGACGCCCATTGTACATTGCCTTTATTGACCTAACCAAGGCATTTGACCTGGTCAGTAGGCAAGGTCTCTTTACCCTGCTACAGAGGATTGGATGCCCTCCAAAGCTCCTGAGGATAATCTCGTCTTTTCATGAAGACATGCAAGGCACCGTCCTGTATGATGGTTCATCCTCAGATCCTTTCCCCATCAAAAGCGGCGTAAAACAAGGATGTGTATTAGCCCCAACACTTTTTGGCATATTCTTTTCCCTGCTGCTGTCATACGCATTTGATCAATCAGAAGACGGCGAGTATCTTCACACCAGAAGTGACGGAAGCCTCTTCAATCTTGCGCGTCTCCGAGCAAAAACCAAAGTACGCAAGGTCCTGATCAGAGAGATGCTCTTTGCTGATGATGCCGCCTTGACTGCACACACAGAGCAGGCACTACAACGACTCATCGACCGCTTTTCCAATGCATGCGATGAGTTTGCTCTCACCATCAGCATCAAAAAGACCAACATTATGGGCCAGGACGTCTGCTGCACTCCCAAAATCTCCATCGACGAACATATCCTTGAAGTTGTGGATTCATTCACCTACCTTGGGTCCACCATATCAAGTAACCTGTCCTTGGATACAGAGCTAAATAAGCGCATTGGGAAAGCAGCATCAGTAATGGCTCGGCTGGGAAAACGAGTATGGGACAACACCATGCTGACAACAAACACCGGGATAGTGGTATACAAGGCGTGCGTACTCAGCACGCTCCTGTACGGCAGCGAAGCCTGGACCCTGTACTCTCGCCAAGAGCGTCGACTCAACACCTTCCACATGCGTTGCCTCAGAAGAATTTTAGGCATCAGCTGGAAGGATCATGTCACCAACAAGGAAGTATTGAGACAGTCAAGGTTACCCAGTTTGTTCGCTTTGCTAAGCCAGAGGCGATTGAGATGGCTTGGCCACGTAAGCCGCATGGACAACGGCCGTATACCGAAGGACGTGCTGTACGGAGAGCTGGCAACTGGATCAAGACCTACAGGAAGGCCTGTACTTCGCTACAAGGATGTCCTAAAACGTGACATGAGGGCCGGAGACATCGACACGGCATGTTGGGAAGCAGTGGCTGCTGACCGAAATCGATGGAGGCATGCTGTCAAGGCAGGCCTCCAACTCAGCGAAAAGAGGAGGGAAGAACAGGGGAATGAGAGAAGACAGCGCAGACGACAAAGAATAGCTTCCGTCCCAGCTCAACCAAGCGAGCATTACATCTGTGCGAACTGCAACAAAGCATGCCGCTCCAGAATTGGACTTTACAGCCACAGTCGGCGCTGTCACTCAACCACAGACTGATCCTTGGCACGATCTCCATTGTCTCCCGAGACAGAAGGATGCCAACAAACAACAAGATGTTAATACATTCTAGGTTGTTTTTTCCGACCACTGACAGAAAGACCCGAGATGATGCGATTGGGGACTCAAAATCAACACACTTATATTTCCATTTTACCGAGTACCCGGGTGCTCGATCGGAAAAATGTCCGAGTAACCGATTATCAAAAATATACCGATTTGACATTTCTACCTTTAAAACATGTTATAAATATTTATTATTGAATATTTCCATTTCTTTTTGTTTTCTCTGTGATAACTCTTAAGTGAGTTGATTTCTTGGTAATTCCAAAGATTCCAAAGGAATGAAAATTTCGCCGAGGTAAACAAACTTTACAATAATTCCTTAATTATGATTTTGGCAATTACAAGCAATACAGGATAGAAATAAATATTTGACATAGGGATCAAATCAAATCAAAACTTTGATATTTATTTGTTTGTTTTCCCATCCGAAACTTCTATATACATGTACAATAAAATGAAAATCACCAATGTTTTATGGTGCCTTAAACTTGTGATATCTAGTATCTTGATATTTCAGTCTCTATTTTGACAACATACCTGTTGATATCGTATGCAGAATATCCATAATACAAAAGCAGGGAAGGAAACAAATCTGAAAGTGTGTACACAATTTCAATAACAAGTTATATTGTCATACTTTCAAGTTAAAATTTTATTGGTTCAGAAACATTAACAAATTGTAATTTTACACTCAGCATTTGTAATATTTTTTTACAGCTAACATGATTATGATGTTACACTCAAAACTTATTAAGTATCAGTCCATATAAAAATCATGCAAAAGGTGATTCACTCTGGTTCTCGGAATTCAATGATTTTCCACACATAGATTTCTCTTGACCTATGATCCATGTATTTAAAATAAAAAATGTTTGGATCATGGTTACTATGGAAACCTGATCAAAGTAATTTCCTTAGCAACCAGCCAATTTTTCTATTTGAAGGCACTGAAAATCACTGATCTTTAGAGCCTGAAATTATGTATGAAATCTTTAACAATAATTTTCATTTTTTGGTATGATAAAGACACACACTTTATTTGTTTAAAACACACAAGACATTGATATTTTATCTGAAGCTAGTACTTTGGTAGACATTAGAATATATGTATGTTTTTGCATTTTTGCTGATTCAGCATTTTCCTTGATTTTGACAATATTCAAGGTCAATTTAAGAAAAATACCAAGCTAATACAGATTTTGCATGACTTTCACATAAAAGTAGAGAACTTTCTCTTTTACAGATTGACTTTGAAAGCGTGGGTTTTTTTAAAAATCCTATTCGTTGCCTAGCAACAAAATTGGATGTTTTGATAACTAAAAAGTGAAAAATGGTAAAGGGTTGGGTCAAAAATCTTATAATTTTTTATCTTATTGTGGCAGATACAATTTTTCAAGTAATAGAAAATAACCCTCATATAATTTTAAAATGAGAAAATAATTTATAATCATTAATCTCCATGGCAACAGAAAATTTTCCCTAGCAACAATGCAAAATAAGTTATTTTTTGGCCTTTTTGGTATAGAGTTTGATAGATACGAATAGATATTTTTCTTTGAAATGTGATTGGGCATAAATGTCAATTTAATATGGATCTAATAAAGTTATTTTGGTACTTTATTAACCCATAGGTATAATTCTGAACACTTAACGACCAATTTTGTATCTTCAATTTACTATTACATTCAGGCATTTTTTCTGCTAAATTTTAGGGCTGAAAGGAGATCTTCCACAAAAGACGTTATAAATGAAAAATAAATAGCTTCAGATACAATATTATTATGTAACAAAACATTTGTATGGATGACAAGATTCCATAAAGTGACTAATTCTTGGGTTGCCATGGTAATTAGTTGCACACTGGCCATTAAAAACTTTTTGTTTGCAAAGTGCACTAAAGCTGTACTTTGCCCTAGTTTTTGCTTAATGGGCTAAATTAACTTGTTATTCAAGTACCTTTAGCATTCGTTTTTCTACATAAAGTATAATATTTTATAATTACCATGGATATAATAACGTGAATTGAATTACTGTGACTTAGGTATTCTATTAGCTGCAGAACTGTAGCTTTCTGCTTGAGAAAATTCGTACAGATAAAGCCGAGAGCTACAGATCCAAGCGTTATAAAAACCTTCGATTTACGCCGACGATTTTTTGTCACTCACGTCGGGTATTTTCTCTTCTATTTTATACTTCCCTCAGCTTTAAAAAGGTATTTTGTCATTATAATCATACATTTAACTGAAATTCTTAATAATTTACTTACCATTCAACGCGTACAAATGGCTGTTTTTGGTTACGGACGTCAAAACGGAACTCTTTTAAACCGACAATCTATGAAACTACAAAACTTTATACAGGACTGTTTTGGACAATAAAAAGGTAAATAAACTTTAATAAATTATATAAAAAAAAAATTAGAGTTACATATATAATTAATTATAGGATACAATTCTAAAAGCCAGAGAAAGTTTAAACTACACGAAATAAATTACCAGAAGTAGCGACAAAAAATCGGCGTAAATCGAAGGTTTTTACAACGCTAGGATCTGTAGATCTCTGCTTTATCTGTCCAAATTTTCTCAAGCAGAGAGCTACAGTTCTGTAGCTACTATTCTATGTGAAAGATAAAGGCTCTCACAAAGCTTTGTTAAATTTTACAAGCAAGGACCTATATATACGAATTTTTGCGGTCTCATCCGAAGGACCAGCCTCCACGTCCCACAGTGGTATTCGAACCGGCGATGTAAGGATCAGCTCCTTACTTTTCATCTCTAGAGCAGATGCTCTAACGACTGCGCTACGCGGGCGACTGAAATGGAAAAAGACATTACCATATCACTATTTTCTAGTACTTACAAACAATTCTTTCAAAAAGAGAGGTGAGTTAGCGCTGTAGCCTTCATAAAACACAGAGGTAGATATCAGAACCACTGGAACTTTAATTTGCTGTATTGATAAATTATCAATAAGAAGGTACCGTAGGGGGTGGTGGTGGTCTCAATTCAGAATAATGAATTCTAGAGTGGACTTGACAATGACACAGCTCAATAGCTCTGCTATTGTGTTTTACTGTTATTTCAATCTGGGGTGAAAAATAAGAGACCAATAGAAAACATGGGCACCTAGTTTATAATATTAAAGTGCGCTGCCATTTTGTCCTTGCATCTTCTTGGGTCTTTCCAGCAAGCTAAAAAAATAGCCTAGGTTATACTAGT